AAAGTTACTGATTTAATATGCTTAACAGAGACGATTATATTTCGAGGAAGTTCGATAAAAAAAGATCAACATAATACTTTGTACGCTTAAAAACGGAAAAAAAAAGAAAGAAAGAAATGAATGAACCAAAAGAGAAATTGTGAATAAGCAAAATATGTAAAATGTGACGAGAGAATGTAACACCAAGAGAATTGCATCAAGTGTTGAGTTTTGATTTCATTATCAACACTGTACAAGTCTCTCGTAAATTCTATACTATCCCTATTATGAAGTACATTTTGTATTATACACACACATAAATATATATATTTATATTTATATTTATATGTGTGTGTGATATAATGTAAAAATAATTTGTCCTGAATTTTATTCGGACATTTACAAGGTATAATTTTAATAAGCGATCCCGTTATAAGCATGGAGAAACCGAACCGAACAATTCAATATATGTTTACTAGGATTCATTACCTTTGTCAATTACTATCAATACAACTTTTCAGGTCCCCAGTTTAAATATTAGGTCAGAATCTCACTAACCGTAAAAATATATATTACTCTTTAAATATTATCATTCTTCGATAGAACAACCTCTGGAAGTTGCAGCAAATTGCAGGGGCTGCCACAGCTATTTATATTGGATTGGTGCATAATTATTACGCCTTTTTTCCACGACTCTTTTGGTCTTTGAAAATTTGTTTATTTTTTTTTCACAACAATAATCCTCTCTTTTCAGACAGTGAAAGTGCGTATCGAAAATCATATCTATATTCGCCATATTATGCCTCTTCCACAGCTGCCAAAAGTTGCCTGGTCGTCGAAATTTGATGGTCGACCTCTTCCTTTTTCATCTGCGAGGTTTGTATCGCCTGATTTGAACTTCTTGAACCATCTTTCAACTTGGCTTTTGTTGGTTGTTCCTTCGCCAAGAAGTTCGTTGAGATCGCGAAATGACTGGGCTGCATTCCAATCTTAATATGGCGAATATAGATATGATTTTCTATACGCACTTTCACTATCTGAAAAGAGAGGATTATTGTTGTGAAAAAAAATAAACAAAACGCCAATTTTCAAAGACCAAAAGAGTTGCGAAAAAAAGGCGCAATAATTATGCACCAACCCAAACACTTATGTGATAGAGAACTTTTCAAAGAAATATCTTAATAATTCATCGCTGTGGATATATTCGATGAGCACATCCTCGTACCTGAAGATCGGAAGAATATTTTAAAACAATGAGTCAGTTAGCGATCTATCATTGAAAATATTGGATATAATTATTATTTACTTTAGAGGCATTTCGATGTCCTTTCCTTCAAGAGGCCCTATTTGTCGAACTCTTTCCAAGATTGCCGAAGCCAGTGCTCTCTCATACTCCAAATATTTCTCGTTCTGAGTGAACCAGAGGGCCAAAGCGCATCTTTTACCCCGAAGAACACCACGAACACCGTGGAGATTCTCTTTGCCAGCAGAAAAAGCGACCATTCGCCCGCAACGTGGTGAAACAACGTTATCCATCGCTCGAATAAAACGATCTTCGGCAAAGAAGAATTCACCACCTTGAAAATCGTCATTCAGATATAAAATCGCGGAGTAGTCTCTCCAGACATAAGCAGGACTCTCACGAATACAAGTATCCTTGTTCCTTAACAGACAATTGTCTGCATGAACCTGATGGCTCAAGTCATCTCGATCCATTGGCATGTCTGAAACAAAATTAGAGATTATGGTGCAAATATTCATTTCTCTATTTTATTGTATTATTTATTTTCTTTTGTGTATGTGTATGTGTGTTTTAGATTGAAGGAGAAAATCTCGAGTTAACGTTGAAAATTGAGTGATTCAGCTTTTTCAGGAAGTAATTATTTAGTTGTATCTTGATTGGTCGCCACAAGTCGTACCAAGTGAATCGGCGTAACGCGATTTCGGCTGCAAAAGGAACCAGAAGCACGGTGATGCATCAGGTGAAAATTACCAGGTAGAGCCGTGCGGCAGACCAAATGAGTGTAGGTGAAATACAGATGTCGATCTACTCCGAAATACCTTTCCACGTGGTCTCGGACTTGTTCGGTCTTTTCCAAAAGTAATTCCAACCATTCTGGTTTTATTTGCCCAAAATACACCATCTAAAATTAACGTCATTAATATATCAACGCATTATCGTATTCGTATCGCGATATGAGATAAGAACACTTTACCAAAGCCGCTCGCCCAACAGTTATTCCCTCAAATTTTTCATATTTTGAATGTGGACTTTTATTTTCATCGTAACCATCTCCTTCTACCGCGATCATCTTTATGCAAATTACGATTTAAATTAAAATTAAGATAATTGTTAATACATATATAGATATTAAATAGAACTCTATACAATCATACATACGGTGGCGAGCTGCATCAAAGATTCACACTCAGTGGAATTAAGGAAATCATCAGCGACATAACGATTTTTTCCACCAAGATCTTCCTCTTTCGCTATTAAACGAATATCGTTCCTTACTCTGATATCGTATATTTTGATACCCTCGACTTGTATTGTAGAAGAATTGTTTGACAATTTCATATGAGAAAACAACGAATAACCGAGTGGCGGGTGGACTGTTTCGATGTCTGATTTCTGAAAACAAGTTGTTAAAAATATAAATTAATCTTGTAAAAATCAATTTACTGATTCCCTACACGCTTGCACACTAAATCCATGGATGTACTTTGGGTTGCATTCTCTAGGCGTTTAAACGAAACCTCGAATATGACGTCTAATAGAAATATAAATAGTAAATAATAATAATAAAATAATTATTTCATAAAAAAAATATTTCTGCTTATGAATATTTTATTTCTTTTTTCTTACAAAAAGTACAGGCAAAACCGACAAAAGTCTAAAGTACAAGCATGTTAGACTTCAGCAGATAATTATCTGATTTGTGCCGCGCATCATTAAAAAATGAATTAAGTTCATTTTTCAATCGGTTCAATATCAAATATATCTTTTCATTTTTCATTTTTTTTTTTATCTTTTTTATATCTTTTTTTATATCTTCTTTACCTTTCCTAGCTCTTCCTCTTCAGCATTGTTTGTTTTCTTATTTTGTTTTCTTTTTCTTATTTTATTAAATTTTTCATCTATAACTGAAAATTCATTGGAAATGTAATATAACAGACTCAATTCATATTCTTGTCTTTTTATGTAGTTGACAGCTTCCTAAAAAAAGTAAAAAGAAATATGATTTTAATCATACGTATGTATTAAATTATATTTCGACACATACGTTTAGGTATAAATGAGCTCACCTCTCTTGCAGAAAAATAGTCTTCTCTAACTTTTGGCTTGGCACTATAATAATCTTTGTTTTGCAGCATTATTTTATCCACCGGATCAAAAAGCAAGAAACTTTCTACAGCGGCACAAGCAGCTTTCAAGTTGCCCACTATGAAAATATAAGTAATGATACTATTTACTATGATATCGTGTCCAATTATCGTATAATATTTTGCAAGGCTGCCCATGGTGAGAAATGAACTGGCTGAACGAGAGATCAGGGTCAGCGACAAAAAACTAGATTAGGCAACAGTTCAGAACAATTTTCACGGATAACGGACGACCATTAAAATGTAACAATCTAACTACTTAAACAAGACCATTTCAATCAAGCCTCCTTCAAGATATAACTAACAGCTTCCTGAGGAGCTTTATTATATGAAACTAAAATTAACTTACTGAGCTATAAGGATGTAAAATTTATAAGGTAATTATTATTATTAGTATATCGGGAGGAGATTTTATTATAAATAGAACTTATCGAAACATTAATATACATAGAGACATGATTTATCAAGTCACGTGTCTCTATTGCTTATAGAACTGTTCGAAACGATAAGAATCTTTCAGAAATAAATATACTACTATTTTATAAGCAGGAAATCCGGCAGCGATAAATAGGAGTCAGTTTATTTATATATTAACTTATTTGGACCAAGAGTATGCAAATTTTCAAACATGAAAGATATATAAAGCGTTATATTATCGCGGAAGTTTCAGATAAATATGCGTAAATTTCACGCAGCCTTGATTAAAAGTTTTGCGTTTTCAGAAAATCGTTGTAAACTTATCTTACGATCGCATCGCGTTTCGACGAGCCGAGTATACTCACATTTGTAATAAGAGTACTGCAAATAATCGTAGTGACTCCTGAGCATATGCCTGCGATAATCGCCATTCACGTTGTTTAATGTACGCGAGCAAGCTCGTTTGCATTTCAGACAGTACGCAAAATGATCTGGAAGAAATAAGTAGACTATATTTAGAAGATTCTGAACTTTGTTTACGTTTCAGGTCTACTTACTCGCGATGGAGGAAGTGAACTCTGGATGCCAGCCCTGGTCAAAGGGACCCTCGCAATAAAATCTACATTCCTCCTCGGCTTCTAAGTATAAGCGTAACGATGCCTCGAATAAGCCGGCGGCTTCTGCGAAATCCTCGTTTTCATAAGACGAGACCCCTTTGAAATAGACGCTGACATAAGCCGGTAGTTCTAGATTTACCACGTTCTCGTGTTTTACGCCTGGCAGTGTTAAATAGCGTTTCAAAAGATCTAGATTCACCTGGTCTTTCGGATGTTCGACTGAATACGTAAACAGTGCGTTGGCTGCGTCCTGATATCGATGTTTCTGTAAAAAAAGAAATACCAATAACGTAAGATTTCACATTGAAAGAATAGGGTCAACGTGGATAGATTGATTGCTGTTGGAAAACATAAAAACCAATTGGAGTCGTATTTCACGAGGCCTGATTGTTCCAAGGGAAATTTTACGGGATGCATAAGCAATACGCTCTGGCACACTGATTACGTATGCTACGACTGAGCTGACCGCTTAGAATGTTAAACTCATTATTTAGCCACTGAAAAATTACTGGTGTGGGATTTGCGAAAGCACGATTACATCAGTTCCCATATTAGAATTCATCAGACTCGTTTATAAAACGGTTTAAAAACTTAAGACTGAAGATCAGAATCAGATCGGTTAGTCGTTTTATATTTTACAATATTTAATAATAATAATAATAGTATATTTATTATTTCGATTTTTAATATTTTTTCCTGCTTTCAATAATTATTTTATGCAACACTAAAAAAAGAAGTGACATTAAATCATAAAATAATTTTTAATAATTTTTTGTTTTCAGTTACCTGATAGTAGCAAATATGCAGGTACTCGTAAATACCATTCCAGAGCAATTTCTGTTCAGTCTCCCGCGGCAGCATCTTAAGCGCTTTCGAGCCGACGATCTCCCGATATTCCTGATTGCACGTTAAGAGGCACAACGTCTCTCTCACTTTCTTTTCGTAAAAGTGTAAATCCTCGATGTCCACTGCGAAAATCGGTGCCGAGCCGGCAGCCTTTGTGCGGCATTTTCGTCTGCAGTTCGTTATCATTCGTTTGTAAGCCTTGTATCTGGAAACACAGCATCAAACAAAAGGATAATGAAAGAGGTACAATAAAACAGAAAGAGGTTTTATTTACTTAAAAATCGAATTTCTTTTCCTTTAAACATAAACTAGCAAGAGTATACATATAGAATTCCTTTGCTTGAATATTTCTCGCTAATTATCCTTTTTTTTTTTTTTAGCTGAAAACTTCTTTCATAATTTCAATTTCAAACTTACCCGTGAGAAACCGCGTTGAAATCTTGAATACAGCGGTCCCAGTCTTCGTCCAGATAAGCGTGAGCAGCATCCTCGTATAGCTCGTTCAGAGTTCTATTCTTCGTAGATGTGCCCTCCTCGTTTTGCTCTTCGAAATCCAACGGCACGTTGTCCAGGATTGTGTTACTCACGGTGTCGTTACTGCCAGTGATCACGCCACAGAAGAATAAGAGTATGACAAGCCTCGTCATCGTGGATGATGCTCAACTATCTCGATTCATACTGAAGTCTCTCTGAAGGAGAGCTAAAACTCTGCGAGATGCTGATCCGCACACGAGGCATACGTAATCGCCTATCCCCTCCGTGCTCCTTCTAGTTTCCAAATGTAGCTTCAGTGCTGTATCATTATCATGGATCTTCGGCCCATTAACGTTCGATCCGTTTTTTGCCATCTTTAGGAATATCGGCTGTCAAAAGTATCCATGAATAATTTAGAAATGAAATATAAATAGACTTAGTATTTTATATAATAACAGAAGAGCTTTAGGTCTTTATATTTGCAAAGTTACAACTTAAGCTTGAAAAAATTTAGATTCTTCGTAAAATATCAAATACACTAACTAATATATATAGTAAACGGGAAAATGAAATATTTGTTGAAGATAATTAGCTGTATTTAGTAGCGTTTTTGCCGACGTTATTTTGCTCCAAAACTCAATTTTTCCCTCTTTTTATTTTATTTTTTTTTTTTTTTTCATAGATACACGAGTGAAAATTGAGCAATAATAATATTTTGTTAAAAGTGATAAAACTCAACTGTTACATAAAAGCAAGGAAAAATATGTATTTCAAGGAAGTGAAGAACTTGAGCTTCTCGAGTTGTTCGACTTGAATAGTAATAAAAAAAAAAAAAAAAATTCACTGTTAAACATTGACGCAAAAGGGTAATCTTTCAAACAAGTACGTTCGCACTTGACCTGCTCCAATTTTCATTTTTCGCATCTTTCGAACATTGACTTGTAGATCGCGCGATACAAATAGAATTGGAAGGAGAGACAACAAAGTATAGTAAGAAACGAAACTGTATTTCACGTGGAGTGGTGTGAATATAATTATCAAACGTTCATCGAGTTCGCTAAATTAAATATTCTCATGGAGAATATCTGTTCGCTTATCACAAAGAAAAAAGAGAACAACAAAGTCTATCGAAAATCTTAAAAAAGTGGAGAAGGAAAGGGTAAAGTAAAAGGAGTTCGAATATCGATCGCAATGCTCCGCTTCCTACGTTTCCTTTTTTTTTTCCTCTTTCTAAAATTATCACATTATCTATGATTAAAAACTGAGTTAGTTGTTCCAGACGAATTATACGAAAATTGTTTTATACAAATATTCCTTATCGTTACTTTTCACGCTGTTACAATATCTTTTCTATTCTCGTGAAACAGGAAGGGAAACCGTATACGTGTCGAAGCTGTTTCCAGCTTTACACAGGTTTTTTTTTTTTTTTTTTTT